GGTTCCTTTTGGGGGTATTGGGTGGTTCTAGTGCACCCCTCTCCCCAGTCTTTCTGCTTTCTTGGTTTTTTGTGGGTGTGAGAGGATGGGGGCTAAGCCCTGACTTGCCTGGGCCCCTCCCCATGTCCTGGCCGTGGCATCCAGTGACTATTTTGTCTCTTCCCTCCCTACTTCCTTCCCAGGTTTCGGTCTAAGTACCACCCAGATGAGGTGGGGAAGCGTCGGCAGGAGGCCCGGGGGGCCCTGCAGAACCGACTGAGGGTGTTCCTGTCCCTCATGGAGAGTGGCTGGTTTGATAATCTTCTCCTGGACATAGACAAAGCTGATGCCATTGTCAAAATGCTGGATGCAGGTGTGTGGACTGGGAGGGGAAGAGGATGTGCGGTGACCAAGATCTTGGTTGGGAAACAGAAGTCAGTTGATAGGCCAGAGGCTAAAGGCCAGGGCCATTGTGACCGTTGCTCCCTTTGTTGGTAGCTGTGATTAAGATGGAAGGAGGGACAGAGAATGATCTGCGCATCCTGGAGCAGGAGGAGGAGGAGGAGCAGGCAGGAAAGCCTGGGGAGCCCAGCAAGAAAGAAGAAGGCCGCGCCGGACCGGGCATGGGGGACGGAGAGCGCAAGGCCAGTGAGAAGGACGACAAGAAAGAAGACGGCAAACAGGTCAGTGCGGGGCTTGCCGGGTGCTGCCTGTGAGCGCCTGGGGAGGATGATGGAGCAGCTTCAGTGGTCGGGGTCCTGGAGGGCTGTGTGATGGGTCCAGGAGAGGCGGAGGGCTAGGGAGGCACCGGTGTTCTGATAAAGGTTGCAGGGGAGATGGACATGCCTGGGATTGTCTTTACCTGCAGGCTGAAAACGACAGTTCTAACGATGACAAAACTAAGAAATCTGAGGGTGATGGGGACAAGGAAGAGAAGAAAGACGACTCTGAGAAAGATGCCAAAAAGGTAGGGTATCTCTTACCACGGGATTGGTGTCGGGCCCAGGGGCCTGGTTACCTGACTCCCTCCCTCCTGCCGTGGCTCACAGAGTAGCAAGAAGCGGAACAGGAAGCACAGCGGTGATGACAGCTTTGACGAAGGCAGTGTGTCCGAGTCGGAGTCGGAGTCGGAGAGTGGCCAAGCTGAGGAAGAGAAGGAGGAGGCTGGTGGGTTTTATTTTCTGCTTCTAGTCTGTTCTCTTCCTACTAAATAGGGGTAGGGGAGGTGGGAGTGGGTGAAATTGATCAGGGGCGGCCCTTTTGGGAGATGAGGGCGTGGAGGTGGGAGTGTGACTGCTTCTCTGTCTTCCCCTTAAAAATCAACAATAAAAAAATCACCAATTGCCACCACTTTCTGCCCAGAAGAGGCACTCAAAGAAAAGGAGAAGCCCAAAGAAGAAGAAAGGGAGAAGCCTAAGGACACTCCTGGGCTGGAATGTAAACCTCGGCCCCTCCATAAGACTTGCTCCCTCTTCATGCGCAACATTGCACCCAACATCTCGCGGGCAGAGATCATTTCTGTGAGTGGGGAAGAGTGGTCATGGGGGCAGGAATGGCACCCGGGCTCCATCTTTGGTGGCAGGGAGGGGGAGCTGGTGAGGCGGGGAGAAGATAGTGTGACTCTGCTTCTGATGTATACCCCTGTTTCTCCAACAGGGAAGCTCCTTCTCATGGGTCCATGCCTTTTGTGGGCTGGCCCCGATCGCACCATTTGCCTTTAAGTGCCCTTACTCTTAAGCCCTTTATTGGTGTTTCCTAACCTGAGTAAAGAGTTAAAGGCAGTCCCGGGGTTCTGAGGACAGGGGGATTGGAGGAAGAAGTGAAACGTTGAATCACTCAGTGGGGTTTCTGTTCCTCTGTTTTTCCAGCTTTGTAAAAGATACCCAGGCTTTATGCGTGTGGCGCTGTCAGAGCCCCAGCCTGAGAGGAGGTAAGGAATGGGGAGGAGAGTGACCCTGGATATCCTGGAGATATGGCACAAGGGGAGGCTGATGGCCAGGATCCCTTCCACCCCAGGGTTATGCTGACCTTTTCTTCTGCAGGTTTTTCCGTCGTGGCTGGGTGACCTTTGACCGCAGTGTTAACATCAAAGAGATCTGTTGGAACCTGCAGAATATCCGAGTAAGTGCTGGGAATGGGCTCTCTGTGCTGCACACAACCTCTCATTCCTTTGTTCTTTGATTCATTCATTCTGCCCCCCATTGACCGTCCAGTCTGCTCACATTAAGCATATACCGGTATCTGTGAGTAAGACGCTAAGACGTTCCTGGTCCCTGTTCTCGGGGAGCTCATGGTCCAGTCGCTGGTCCTGTCAGTAGGGCCAGTTCCTGGAGCTGCTGCTTCCTGGGCAAGTGTTGGTGAGCTCTGTGTTGGCTCCCTCTAGCTCCGGGAGTGTGAACTGAGCCCGGGTGTGAACAGAGACCTGACTCGCCGAGTCCGCAACATCAACGGCATTACCCAGCACAAGCAGATAGTGCGCAACGACATCAAGCTGGCTGCCAAGCTGATCCATACGCTGGATGACAGGACCCAGCTCTGGGCCTCCGAGCCTGGGACACCTCCTCTGCCAACAGTCAGTGACTCCCCGTGAAACTTCTCCAGAAGCAGCCCATACCATGTCTTCTGCTGTGGGCACCTCTGGTCTTGTCTGTAGTGTTAATCCCCTGTTCTCAGCCTATCTGGGCAGCACATCCAGCTTCCACTAGAACAGACTGGCATAGTGATGATGTATTGGCTAAGAGAGAATAAGTAAGAAAAAGACAAATAACGAAGCAGTGGTAACAGGCCAGGGGAACCCTGGATTCCTTTCTGCTTCAGATGAGGAGCTGCTGGGACTATTTATCTGCCTCAGAGTTTTCTCTTGTCATCTCACTTGCCCTTGTTCTTCCTCCTTCCCAGAGCCTGCCCTCCCAGAACCCAATCTTGAAGAACATCACTGACTATCTGATTGAGGAAGTGAGTGCAGAGGAGGAGGAGCTGCTGGGGAGCAGTGGGGGGGGCTCCCCCTGAGGAGCCCCCTAAGGAAGGGAACCCGGCAGAGATCAACGTGGAGCGGGATGAAAAACTGATCAAGGTGCCAGCAAGAGCAGGCGGGCAAGGGTCCTTCCTGGCTTGGGGCAGCAGAGGGCCCAGGAGAGCATGGTGAACTCACAGGTTTTGATTTCTCTCAGGTTTTGGACAAACTTCTTCTCTATTTGCGCATTGTGCACTCCCTGGATTATTATAACACTTGCGAGTACCCCAATGAGGATGAGATGCCCAACCGCTGTGGCATCATCCATGTTCGGGGGCCCATGCCTCCCAACCGCATCAGTCATGGAGAAGGTGGGCTCCCAGCCACTCCCGAGTCCCCTTTGGTTTCCCTTTCTCAACTGCTTCTGGTCGTAGATGTGTTCTGGGAGCAGTGCCTTCCCAGCCTCTCATTTTTTCCCCCCCTCTTTAAATATTTAAAAATAATCTTTCTGTCCAACGTGGGGCTCAAACTCAGGACCCCTGAGATCAAGAGTCACATGCCCTGAGCCAGCCATGCGCCCCTCGTCCCTTCCTTGCTTCTGGCTCCCTTCTCCAGCTCGCTGTTGTCCCTGTTCCCAAACCACAGTGCTAGAGTGGCAGAAGACATTTGAGGAGAAGCTGACTCCGCTGCTGAGTGTGCGGGAATCTCTTTCCGAGGAAGAGGCTCAGAAGATGGGGCGCAAAGACCCCGAGCAGGAAGTGGAGAAGTTTGTCACCTCTAACACCCAGGAACTGGGCAAGGATAAGTGGCTATGCCCTCTCAGTGGCAAGAAATTCAAGGTCTGGGATGGTAGAGAGCTGTGTTAGAACTGTGGGTGGAAGGGGTTGAGCCAGGAAGCTGCCTCTGGCCTGGGGAGGAATTGGCTCTGGAACTGGTGGGCGGGGAGGTCGATTATCCTTCCACATTGCTTGCTCTGTTCTGATCCTCTCTCTCTTTACCCAGGGTCCTGAGTTTGTACGCAAACATATCTTCAACAAGCATGCAGAGAAGATTGAGGAAGTGAAGAAGGAGGTTGCATTTTTTAACAACTTTCTCACTGATGCCAAGCGCCCGGCTCTGCCGGAGATCAAGCCAGCTCAGCCACCTGGCCCTGCCCAGAGTAAGATACGATCCATGAGGGTCTGCCACATTCCCACTCCCTTGACTATCAAGGACTCCTGGTTCTCTTTATCCTATGCTCCTCTGAAAACATTCTTTTCCACTCAGGCAGTATTCCTAAAAGCCAGTGGTCATTCCCCGCCCCCTCACTCCCCCCTCCCGCAGTAATTCATGTTCCTGTCCATGTTGTACTCCCCCCAGGCCTGACGCCGGGACTCCCCTACCCACACCAGACTCCCCAGGGCCTGATGCCCTATGGTCAGCCCCGGCCCCCCATCTTGGGCTATGGAGGTAAGTGTAGGGGGAGACTTGAAAGGGCTTAGTGGCTCTGAGGGGCTGGGAGAAAGGAAGCCAAACCAAGGTATAGTTGAGGTCACAGATTTTCAACTCAATCCCAATCTCTTGTGTAGCTGGTGCTGTCCGCCCTGCGGTCCCTACGGGAGGGCCTCCGTACCCTCACGCCCCCTATGGTGCTGGCCGAGGGAACTATGATGCCTTCCGAGGCCAAGGAGGTTATCCCGGGAAGCCTCGGAACAGGTGAGAATGAGCTAAGATGTCCAAGCTTTCTTGCCCTCTTCAGGCTCCCTTTCAGCGACCCTCAGCTGTCCTCCCACCTTACCTCTTCCATATCTCACAGGATGGTCCGAGGAGACCCACGGGCCATTGTGGAATACCGTGACCTGGACGCTCCAGATGATGTGGACTTCTTCTGAGCCCTCTACTTCTCCTCACTCCTGGCCTCCTCTAGAATTGTGACTGCCTGGTCCTATCCAGCTGAGAATTTTTTTTGTACGTTCAGCCCTACTGCCAATAAAAGCACTTCCATAGTGATTGATTATTTATTATGTACCTCCCCAAATTCTCCCAAAGATTGGCTGGGGCCATAATTAGCTGAGCTGCACCATTTTATTGACTCCAAAGACCCAGGCAGCTTTTGCCTTGGAGTAAAGGGTTTATTTAGGTATGTTTGGGTCCAGAGATAGTCTCCATTCTGGGACCCGAGCCTCAGTCCAGGGCATGCTTCTGCTTCTGGGAGTTGCAGCTGGTCAAACACAGGTTGTAGAAGGAGTTGCTGTCAAAGGCTGTGCCTACCTCTCTCCATCCTACCCACCCAGCTGCCTGTAGTTCACTGGGATTTTTCGGAGCACCCCAGAAGTGAGGGTCCAATACCAGAACATAGGCTTCTGTGCCTGGACCCAGGCAGACTCCCAGTAAGGCCTTGGACCCGGCATCTGCATCCCCCCCCAACCATTACAGGCCCCCCGCCCCCAGCGAAGTGGGAGTAAAGCCTCTCCAGTTCCCCCTGAAGCCCTGCTCCACGGGGTACGTGGCACAGGCGCCCCTGGGGCCCTCCGAAGTGGTCGAGGCAGAGGCTGGCTTCTACACAACCAATCCAGCTCCGGGAGCCCCGGAACCCGGGGGGGCTTGTCACCCATGTCCTCCAGAGCCGCCTGCACGGCGGTCAGTCCGGGCACGCCCGCGGGCCGGCCCTCTGGCCACGAGCACAGCGTCTGCAGAGTGCGGTAGCCGCAGCCCCAGCCCCGGTCGTCCAGGCCATCGCAGCCGTAGTGATAGTAAAGGTAGTGGCCCGAGAGGAGGGCCAGGCGAGCGGGGCCGCGGTTGGGCGGGGCCAGGCCCAGGTGGACGTCCTTCAGCGGCTCCAGGGCGGGCGGCGGGGGCCGAGGTCGGGTAGACGCGTCCTGGCGGCGCGGACGGAACTCCGGCTCCTGCGCTTCCTCTTGGACCTGGGTCTTGAGCTAGCCGCAGGCAGGACCGGCGTGCGGGCTCTCGGGGACGTTCTCGCTGGTCTCCCGCAGCGCAGAGTCCGGAGCGGCAGTCGCGGGTAAAGCGCCACCCGCAGGGCTCCCACAATGCACCGCCGCGCAGCCGTCACTACTGCGCAGGTGCGAGCCCCGCCTCCTGAGGCGGGGCGCGGGGCGGCGGGCGCGGCGGAGTAGCGCGTTCGGAGCCGGCACGCTCCGCCCCGCTACAGAGGTGTGCAAGTTCGGGTGGCTGTCACACCCGCCCCGCTCTGTCTACTCATCCCTGGTGTTTGAGGCCCGGTCCCCGCTCCCTAGTCGACACTGCTGTGGCTGTAACAGTTTATTGGCAGCCCAGAGGGGCGAAGGCACCGCGGGGGAGGGGCTCGGCCCGAGACATGCAGAGGACGGGGAGCCTCCGGGGATACTCGGGGTGGGGGGGTAGGGTCTAGGGCTCCTCCGTATTATAACCCAGCCCTTAAATAAGTATATACAGCTAGTGGGCCGGACGGGGCGAGCTGGGCGGGGAGACATGGGGGTCCCGTCTGGGTCACAGGTCTGAGCAGCGATCCTGCTTGCTGTAATGGTCAAACTGGTTCTTCCAGTGCACCATGTAGGAGCTCCAGCGGTGGAACTCGGCCTTCCACTGGCGCTCCGCCTCGTCCAGTGTGTCTGCGGCCAGGGCGCCCGGCAAGTGGGTTGGAGGAGGGCAAGGGGAAGGTCAGGGAACGTACATGGTGGGGGGGGCGTGAGTGCAGACAAGGAGAATGCAGGAGGGCACGCAGGACAGTGGAAATAGGATCAGGAGAATATGCGAAAGACAAGACCAGAGGACGGATGGGAGTGGAGGAGGGGCCAGAGCAGGATGGCGGGAAGGAAGGGGTGGGGGAGGAGAAAATGACCGGAAGACAGTGGGACAGAAAGGATCAGAAGAGGGGAGGATCCGTAGGTTGGTGGGGAAAAGAGAAGAGACAGAAATGGTTGACTGTTATAGCCCCACTAGGGGGTGCTGTCTAGCTCCCGGGCCCGCCCTCTGCCCCCGACACCAGGCTCCGGCTCCAAATAATTTTGTAAAAAAAGAAAATTGGCGTTTTCATTTCCATTTAGACAACAAAGGCGTGTGGGTCCCTGAGACGGGTCATAGGTCACCACCCCCTCCCAGCCCTGGCCGGTTTGAGTCTCTCGAGTTGAGGAGGGAGGGTGCGCTGGGTCGGAGATCCCTGAGTGGGGCCCTTCCCCACTGTCCGACCACTCATTAGAGGAGGGGTCCCCTGAGGCCGGAGGGGTAAGTGGCCGTGGTCACAACCGCAGGAGCCGGGAGAGGTGGAGGAAGAGGAGGAGGAGGGGCAGGGGAAGGCCGGGCCTGGGCCTCGGGGCAGCCTCCCCGTGGGCGGGGCCTGAGCAGGTGCTGGGAGCCTTCGAGGCTGGTGGGGGGAGAAGAGAGGGGTTACACCCGGCCGGCTCCCACTCCCCTCTCTCTTTTCGCGCCCCTTTTATGCCCTCCTCCGCCCAGCCCCTGCCCGCTGGCCCCTGCATACCGGTGGCGCTGAGCAATTTGGGGAGGAAGCGGTTCCAGAAGGCGCAGGCCTGGGCGCGCAGCCCCCGGCGCACCTCCAGCGGCCGCAGGTTCAGGCTCACGTACTGCTGCGCTCCCGCCGTGTACGGTGGCCACTGCGGGACTTTGGGGTCCCGGGGGTCATTGGGGTCCCTTCGGAAGGAAAGGGAAGGCTCAGCCTCAGGCAAGCCTGCCCCGCCCGCCCTAGGGACCGTGGACTGGCGATGGAGAGCAGGAGGAGGCAGGCTGCCCCCTGACCCGAGCCCTCTTTGGCTCCCTGGAGAACACATCCCCTTCCCACCACCTCTTTAACCCTTCTTTCTGGTCTCCCGGATCCCCCATCACCTGGAGCCATCCCTTTCCTCCTGCCCTCCCTCTTTCTGCCTTTCCCTCAGCTTTACTGCCCCACCTTTGTCTTTGTTTCTCCCATTTAAAACATCGCTAGGATTTATGAGCCCTTATTGTGTAAGCAGGCTCAGTCCTAGCTCTACAAACATCTTGTTTTTGCTTTTGACAACACCCATGTGATGTCGGAGTTGTGGTCCCCTTCTTCGGACAGGTAAACCAGTGTGTGACTACATATACATGTGCAGTCAAATGCTACTACACATTCATGTGAATGTATCAATGGCCCACCTGAACCCAGCGGTCTACAGTTCTAGCTCCTAAGTACTACGGTAACTTCTTTGTCTCCCTGTCTCTCTTCTCTACGCTTCCCTCCCCCACCTCTCCTGGGCTCTACTGGACCTGCTATCCTTTCCTCTCCAGTCTCTTTTGTCATTCTGTCTCCCTCTTTGTCTCCTTTCTTTTGTGAACTTTTCCCTCCCTCTCCGGCCCTTTTGGTCTGTCCCAGTCCATCCTCCTCTCTCCCTGTCCCCTCCTCTTGCTTCTCTGGCTCCTGGGGGCCCTGCTCCCCTCAGTACTGCTGACCCTGTGCGGGCGAAGTTGGCCCAGTATCTCATCAGTCGCTGGGCAAAGGTTCTCTCCTCGGCCGTATAGTTTAGTGAGGGTTCCAGAGGGAGTCCAAAGATGAACTCGATCTCGTAGCCATGGGGCACCCCCATCCACAGGGGCCAGGAGAGCGTAGATGCGCGGTGTTCAAAGATGTAGGCATAGACCCGAGCCCCCTGGGCAGCCAGTCGCCCAGCCAGCTGGGCCACGGGGCACACGACGTTATGGTCTCCCACGACATCACTCATGGCCTCTCTCAGGCGCGCTGGGTCCTCAGGGTGCAGCCAGTCTGTGTAATGCAGGACCACAGCCTCGGCAGCTAGGTCACTCGCCTGGGGGACCCCGACCCGCACCCCGGCCAGGAACTGGGCCCGGCTGATGAGAGATTCGTTGTCTTTGCTGAAGCCTGGGGCCCCGTAAACCAGAAAATAGGAGCCCTCATCCTTCACCACACCCACCAGCACCTGAGGGGACAGGATGGAGGGATGGGGGGGGGCACAGACAGACAGGCAGACAGAAACAGATGGACAAAGAGCCAGAGAGATCAATAGTTATAGACCCCACAAACATGGAGGAAAAGAGTAGGAGGTTGGGGAAGGGACAGAGAGAAAGAGAAAATGTACCCATGTTTCCTTTTCTCTCTGCCCCACTGACCACCCCAGGATCTGAGCTCTCAGGGAGGAGGGGGTGGCCATGGGGCCAGAAGCCCAGGCCTTTGGGAATTGGATCTTGAGGAGCCTTCATGCCTGGGTCTCCAGGGGTCAGGGGTCTGGGGTCTGGGGGTGGGTGGGAGAACAGGCCTAGAGGAACCAGCTCCAACCCTTCCAGCCACTAGTCACCTGCAGACCGTGGAAGTCTCCAGCATTGATGAGGGCCTCGGGTGTGTCACTGAGGAAGTCTCCATCCACCACAGGCACGAAAGAGAAGCGGAAGACACTTTCCTGAGGCAGCACGTGCCACTCGTGGTCTACCAGGTCCTGAGCGGGCCTTGTCCTCAGGCAGGCAACCAGTTCTGTGTCATTGCCACCAGCACCCCCTGGGGGACAGCCTACGAGGCGGGCCAGCAGTGTGGCCCTGCGGCGGGCCTCTCCCACACCCACCGTGGCCCAGGGGCCATTGGGTGCACCGCTCTGCAGCACAGCTCTGTGGAAAAGGCCCCGGCTGGGAGGGGACAGCAAGTGCATGCCCACCGAGGCAGCACCGGCACTTTCCCCAAACAGAGTCACTGATGTTGGGTCGCCCCCGAAGGCGGCCACGTTCTCTTGCACCCACTGCAATGCCAGCCTCTGATCCAGTAGACCCACGTTGCCTGGGGCCTCCCGGCTCCCTGGCAGGGCCAAGAAGCCAAAGGCTCCCACCCGGTAGTTCATGGACACCAGCACGGTCCCCTCAGCCTGGGCCAGGAAGCGGCCGTCATACACGTCCAGGGAGGAGGCCCCACTGTAGAAGCCACCCCCGTAGATCCAGACGAGGACAGGGGTCGGGGACGCAGGCCGGGGGTATGGTGTCCACACATTGAGGTAGAGGCAGTCCTCACTCAGCTCACGGTTCGGGTTCCACATCTCGGTGCCCTCAAAGCCAGGGTACAAGGTGTCCACATATTGGTAGCAGACACTTTGGAAGGCCGTGGCGTCCAGCACCCCCGGCCAGGGCCGCTTGGGCTCCGGTGGCAGAAAACGACGGGGGCCCACAGGTGGCTCTGCGAAGGGGATGCCCAGAAAAGCGGAGACAGGGCCCCCAGGGGCCATTAGGCGGATGCCCCGCAGCCGGCCCCCACGCACAGTCACCAGCAGCTCTGGGTCCTCAGCCTCTGCCCTTCCTCCCAGGAGGAAGAGGAGGAAGAGCAGGATTGGGGAAGCCAGGGAGGGCGTGTGCAGGGGACACCAGGGGGGCCTCATGGCTGCCAGGCCAGGCAGGCGTCTGCTGGGAGACAGAAAGGCAGAGGGTGAAGGTCTGAGGCTGCCAGGAGCGAGGAGATTAGGTAACACTCTTGCCCAGGGGTTATCGTGGAGCTGCAGAGGAGGTGGGGCAGGTTGGGAGAGTGGAGAGAAACGGAGGGAGGGAGTCAGGCCAAGGCAAGGACACAGGCAGACAGAGAGAAGCCAAGAGGGGACAGAGATCGGGCACACACATGACACCCAGACAGACCAAGGGAGGCAACAGAGATGAGGCCTGCCAGGCTATCCCTTCTCTTGCCCCACTGAGCGCCCACCACCCTCACCTCCTTCCCCTAGCTGGGTGGACTGCGTTGGGCCCAGCCGGAGCAGTGCAGACACCGGCACCAGAGGCCGCAATCCACACACAGGCCACCAGACAGGGGCGGGGCCCTCACTGACTGGAGGCGCTGATGGGGAGGCTTGCGGTGGTGGTGGTGGTGGTGGTGGTGGTGGCGTGAAGGCGCAGGCTCTCTTGAGTTGGCCAGGGTCGGGAGGGGGTGGGGGGGGGGGGGGGGCTCTGGGGGCTGGGTTGGGCATTCAAGGCTGTGGGAGCTACAGGTCTCAGGGTACCCCAAATCCTGCATACCCCACACCCTGTCCCACCCTGCCCTGCCCCTCCTCATCCACTGTCTGGCACGGGGCGCTGGTACCCGTGGGTGCCAGTCAGCTGCGCACTCGCCTCGCCTAGCCTCAGAGATCAGGCTCGCCAGTCCGGGTCCCCCAGGACTGGAGTCCCCCATGCATCCGATGCTGCGGGGCACGCTGCCGCCAGTGGGGGGGCAGTAGAGACCGAGAAAAGGACGGCGCTCCCCGCCCCGAGTCCGAGAGCCGGGAACTCGGG